GAAAGCAAAAGCAGTGCGCAGTCTGCATGGTTATCTTGCTAAAGCCACCAATGCTTCCCTCCCTACTTAGTTCTTGAATTACGTATACAATCTGTCGTCGATTCTGTCCACCCGCACACAATTCAAAGTTCTCTCATTTGGAATTAAATACCGATTGTCACCAAAAGCGATAGATAAGCTCAGCAAGCAGCTCCACTTTGAGTATCTGAGTGAACGGCTCAGTTATCTTGCGCCAAGATCGACGGAAGATGCGGGTTGGTTTCAGGGGAGTATAGTAACACCGGTGAGTCAGATGTGCTGTCTATAAACTGAACACTAAATGGCGATCAGAGAGCTTAAATAAATGAAGCACTTAATATTTCTGCATCCGGATAAGGAATCGGGTATTGTAGTACTGAAGAGACTCGACTACATTTCGAAGCTGGTGTCTATCTTGGGAGACAGACGAAATTTGCAGTTAGGCGAGACTACAGAGAACAACATCTTGTGGGAGAAGCAGGTGGCAACGAAGCTCAAGATCCTCTTGCTACTTGGTGACCTCACCGAGTTTCAATACAAGCAGTTGAAATCGCCTGGAACGCAGACACGCAGAATAAGCGGCCCTCCCAAATTACACAAGGTAGGCAACCCGCTACGCCACGTTAGGTGCACGAACATTTCGCTTTTTCACAACGTCGCGCGATGGCCGGCGAAACTATGAGATTCGATGCGTAAATTCCTGGCTAATGCCTAAAATCGTGTGTGAACTGGCCGTGACGCTGGAACAGTCGTCGCTGAGTGCGGAGCCAATGCACTCCACAGACATTTACTCCCTGCTCACAAACGTGCATCCATGTGAGACGGTCGATGATGTAGACGATTACATCTTGAGTCAGAACAGGTATATTTGTCTGCCTGTGGAATATCAGGGATATGATTCTTTTGTGCCCCGGAAACAATCAATTTGAGTTTGAAGGGACTGCATATAACAGCTCGACGACATCGCCATGGACAATCGTCTGGCTCCAGTCGTAGCAAATATCTACGGCTTGATAGAAAAGCAAGTAGGTGATGCGAACTTGTGCAGGCTGTACGTGGATTTTATTCTAGGCTTCACCAGCAGCAAACATTGTATGCGGCTGTTGACCGTTCTAAATTCAAAACATCCCAATCTTTTGGTATTCCATGTGGTGGAACATCACGGTAACCCGCCGTTTTTGGATATACTAATCAGGAGCAGCGTACCGTTCATCAAAAACGACCTAGAGTGGGTTGTACCTTCAATTTTGTACCTTCGCTCCGGTCCCATATAAACGTGGCCTACTGAACTCTCTTCTACAGAATAACACGGATCTACAGCTCCAAAATATTAAAAGGTGAAGATTTGCTGCCGAAGATAATGTCAACTGGGTATCGCGAGAAGTTTACTCAGATCCACAGTAGACCACCTGAGAAGAAAATACCGGTGTGAACGGCAGAGAGAAGGTTTTTATTTGTTCTTGCCATTCAAAGGGAGCCATGTGGCCAGTGATACCGGACACAAGCTCCAACCTGCTCTAACGCATACCTACTCGACCTTCCGGTTACAAGTTATAAATACCACACGAAGCCTTGTTCTTACTAGCCCTCAGACCTGCATTGCGAACCGGTAGAAGATGCGGAAACAATGATCATAGGCTCGCCCTAGGGAAGTCTGCGACTGTGACGCAGCGACACTTGCCTTATAGTAATTCTTCATTTTCTCCAAATGTCCACTCCAGAGATAGACTCTAATCTCACATTAGCTCTAAGAAGAGTCCTAGGAACACGAGATGGCCATGTTCTCATCGCAGGTGACTTCAGGAGCTGAAAGTTCCGGCATACTCTAATGAGCAATACAAAATCAACCTGCGAGCGTTTGTTGCAGGCACTACACTCTTCAGTCTTGTCAGTTAGCCCACCAGTTTCGGAGCGGGAAATAAACGGCCTGGGCTTGATTTAGTGCCCACAAGCGAAGATCCATAAGCCAAGGATAGAGAATCTTCTAAGGTTGTGGTCACCTCGCTTCACCGTATGACTGTGTGTTCTTCTTAGTATCCACAGGAATACATTGGTTTGTTTCGCACACTCACACATTGTGACAATCTAACAGAACTGGTTGGGAGGGTCACCTGGAAGTTTGCAATTGACTTCAATTCATAGCGCCTAGATGGAGTTTGTTGACAAGTTCAGCGAGTTGTTCGCGAACGCAACGGAAACCATACTCCTTTGTTCTCCAACCGCAGAATCGTTCATTCCGTGCAGAACGCGTGAACTCATGGAAGTCACATACGCAGCGTGGCATGCGTTTGGAGCTAACCCTAGCCCTTACAACTGAAGCAACTATGTAGTGCAGCATGATCCCTGTGCCACACTTCTCTGTGAGGACAAATTAGTCCACTATGAGAGCCAAACGTAAAGCCACTTAACAAGACACTAAACAAACAAATAAGCAGCCTCCGGAAAGTGAAGCATAGTGTTCCCCCACTCATCTTAGCAGATGGATGTGTTCAAAGCGCCGAGGATGCAGCTAATACTCTCCGGCTCCAATATCCTCTAATGTTCCGACGCCCCACCAGCATGTGTCACACATGTCACATTTCCGCGGACGGCTATATTTACACACTTCACGTTTAGTTCAGCGACGGATTTAAGAAAGCTAGTTTCGACGCGCAGTCCTAGTTTCCCGGGCGTTGGCAACACTCTCCCGAGAGCAATGCAATTGGCAGCTGCGACAATAACCGAGCTATTAACCCAATTATTTCAGCGGTTTGAATAGAGAGCAATTTCCTTACGTGTGCAATCCTAGTGCCTTTTCACCAATTTCTAAGAATGGTAATACTTCGGAACCCGCCAACTCTCGCCCAGAGATCCCCATCCCAGCGCTCTCAAGCTGATGGAGTCGATCATTGTTGTGGCACTAGTGTGCTATCTAGAAAACCGCAAATAGTGGCAAAATAGCAAGAAAGGACGGCGTAATCACAAACTATCCAAACCCTTGAAGACAAGGGTGAACAAGTTAAACCCCACTTTATCGAGTATACCTACACGTCCCTAATCGGTCAGTGGTCGCCCCGCTCTCTAGGTCATCACTTCGGGTCCGCCGTCATGCGTAGATGTAAAAGAATGCGCTTGTACTGCTGAATCTGCCTCATGGACACTGCATCAGGTAGACTACACACAATCTGTTTAAATTATACAGACCTAATCTTACGGAAGATTTGCACTATTTATAAGTGAAAGTGGGAATAGCAAACCCTTCTGTTCGATTGAAACTGCCGCACTGTAGTTTCAATTTACAAAGGCGCTCACGTTCGGAATGCGGCAATCAAAGAGGACTCAGTCCAAACTCAATTGCCCCCTAGCTGCTTGCGTCTGTCATTCACCATGGGCTGGCTGGTATCCGTGGAGGTCGGACTCGCGAAGCGCAAGTCAGGTTTCATCGAAATGTCAACACTATTAACTACGTCTTCAGATTCCGTCAGTTGTTTGGGCAACGCCATACATATTGGTGACCCACATTACTCGTGTTTCTTGACAGCAAAATGATCTTCGATTCAGTGGACTGATGTGCCGATTGAAACTGTCTGGTTAGGAAAAGCACACCTAAGATGTATGTGAATTTTGGGACAGCGCTTCATGTGCGTAGTTAGGCCAGAGTGATAGTTTATGATAAATTGCCACCGTTCTTTACTGTTCAGAGCAGTGGGAAACGAGTATGGTCGCTATCATCTTTCCAATACATTTACCAATGACGGAGTAATGGAAACTACATTCCTTGGATATAACCTCTAAGGTGTGCAGTTGCTTCCAGGTGCTCGACTTTACAACTTGGAGCACGCCGACAAGCTTGTCCAAATCTGAGGCAACTTGCAGACACGCCAACCGATGCTGGACAGATTAGCAATGTCAGTTAATCGTTTTGGGTTATGTTTTGCATCAACAAAATACAAAGTTTTCCAGGATTGGTATAGACCAACCTCTGCTCTAACCCTTTGTGGAGATGAGCTATAAGCCGTTCAGAGGTGCAATGGTCTGAATAACTGTATCAACGTCTGTGGAATAGTAGATGTGATCAAGGAGCGTGTGCCGAAAGTTCGAGGCGCTTCTTCTAATACTCGCCACTTATGGTACTGACGCGGCGTCACCCTCACGCTGAAGGATAATGCGTACGATGCCACGTGCGTTCACTCCTAATGGATGGTTGCGAAACCTTGTCCAATAACTCGGCGGACATAAGGACTTTAGTTGCGTTCAACTAGTGATGTCTTTGCAATCTGGTGGAGACACCGTGTAAGCAATGATGATGTTCAGCGTCTCGTTTCTGGTGCAGGAATAACAAGTGGACCGCTTAGCACCGTTATTGCACGCAACAGACTCCAATGGCCGAGTCATGCATTTCGCACAATAGCACACTGGCTGCCGTGAACAGCATTACTTGCGCGACCTTTATGCGGATGAACGAAGAGTAGTGGGGGATAGCTGATGATTTTTTCAAGGAAAATGAAAGCACTCACTTGGAATTTGGCCTTGGTTGGCGCATCCCGGCTGCCAGGTTGGAGTCGAAAAGACGAGGAGCCTGTTTGGTTGGATAGACATGTTGTTTATTTGGTAGGCTACTTCCTTGTTGCAGCTTATACGCTCCTCCTAGTATTATCTCCTTCTTAATGCGCACTACAATTCAAATCGCAGCGTTTTTGTTTCTTTTGTTTTCTTTCTGCTCTATGGGCATTTTGAATTTTGTTATGTTTCTGTAGTTGTCTTATTTCGCACCTGTCGCTAGCTTGTACAGTACTGAGTTATGAGAGTCATCCTCTGAAAATAATTTTGGCTCGCAACTAAATATTTTTGTCCACTGAAACTCCACCGCCTTAGTGTTATTAGCTGAGATGTCTAGGGTGGATGAGACCATGTGCTTTAAGCACCACTCCTTCTGTTTTCTACATTGATGCTGTCTGTGAATGGCAACTCTAATTACAAACACTTCCTTTTCACTTTTTCAGGAACAGCGAACTTGAGTCACATGACTCGGTTTTTAAGGCCTCAAACACCAGACGGGTTCTGCATACAGAGCGTGGAGACCTCGGACTTCAGGAGAAATCTGGTCCTATCGAATTACGCAAGACACAATACTCTCTATCGGCGTTAACTCGCAGCAGCCGCTCACATCATACTAGATTGGAATCCAGTGAAGACACGTCAGTAGTTATGTCCAAGTGTCGTGCAATTCTAAGTTTACGCTTCATAAATGTCGCTGATAACCAATATGTGTGTGTATCAGCGTAAAGGAAGAGCTAATGATTTTTGGCTGAACGGACCACGCGTCGCCCATTCAGCGCTATTTGCCACCACCATTGACCATGGACTATATAATACGAGATGGAATGTCCGCGGGGAAGTTCTTGGCCTTAGTGCAGGTGGTCTAGTGTTATTGCGACGGGGCCAACTGACTAAACGTGGAAGCAATATACACTTGATACACGAAGAACGGTATGCTTCTTGCAAAACCCCTGTTCAACGTCCACTGATGCCAGGGCTAATAAAAGTAAGGTGACCCTATTATGAAATATTGAATAGAAAATATTTCGACAGGAGACAGGTAACTGATTAGATTCGTCTGTTTTTCGGATCAGCTCCAACAGCTCGTTTTCGTACCGCAATTCCTTCTGCAACCTGATGACATTTGTGCGGACAAGAGGATCACAAGAATTTTCAAATTGCACAAAGTTTTTATGGGTGGTTAGGAATCACTCGCATATCACAATGTCATAATGGGGCCGTTTGCATGGTAAGCTCTCTTCCAGTGGGGAAGATCTATAGAAATTAAGTTACTGATGCGATTGGATTAATAACATCCAGTATAGAATATTCATGAGGGAAAAATATTTGAATTTAACATTATCTGCTCAAAGTTCGAGTAAAACCTCCCTTATGAAAGGGTGTCTTACGAAGTAGCAATCATCGTGAAAGACTGAAGCGGCTAATGATGCGCCGTGTTTAGGGATATGTTCCAAAATTCGATGATTCATTGGCCCTTCAAGTTTGTCGGATGTCTGATTTAAACCAACCAGGCTCTTTATTCGTAAAAGCTGAGTTCTCACCGTGAACAGGTATTTGAAAGACATCGTAAACCCTTAAGAAGTAACGCCTATGGTAACCTAACAGCAGTTTAAGAATTGTGTGAGACATCAGTACGCTAACTCTATCGTGTTTAATTCCGTTCACTAAACCAGTGAGTTTATACGGGTTAGGAACCACTGTTTTTCAACCCCAGTAGGTGATCGATTAACGTTAGGAAAAACCAGCTAGTACTTTTACTATCAAAAGTAGGGCTCACCGATTGTGATGCTGTTGTCCCACACTCGGCACAGTTTCACAACACGAACAGGTGACAGTTTATCTACCGAAGGTATATTCTAAGAGTAGAACAATGAGCTAGTGCGGAGTAACAAAATGTGTGTGGCTGACTGCGTCATCCAAACGCCCTGCTTGGCGCCTGTACTCTTATGCTCATTTCAAGAAGTGTACTCACGTGATTGTGCTGCTGCTGAGTCACAGTAAAGGGATGCACACATTATCTGGATTGTGTCACTCTTAATCCGCGACACCCGCTGCTTCCTCCCAAAAGTTGCAGTCTTTGCTCGTGTGGAAAATTTCGCATTCCAGTGACGTGCTTGGAAGCCCGACGTTAAGGCTGCTCCAGTGCAACGAAGTTGTGTATTAGCCATGGCTGACTGACTTGAATTTTGTATTCGATGCTGTCCCGAACATGCGCACTGAACAGCTGTTGGACAGTAGAGGTATGAGGGCAGAGCAATAAATTTCCGGATACGCAGTACACAGCTTAGGTGCGGATGTTCTGACAAGAAAAATGTGAAATGTAATCCATTCTGAACATTGCTCAGTGATTTTAAAATCACAGAACCCAGCCTAGCTCAGCTCACAAGTCAAAAGGGTCGCCACACTCTGACTGTAATATCGGACTTAGTCGATGTCAGTGGAGGTAGATGATTTTCTGTGACACCAAATGTGGTTTAAAGCAGCATCAGTGTGTTGGGCGATTGCACGCTGCGTATGGTGATGATACACTTTCAAGAACCACCTTGTTTGAGTGGACTGTGGAATTCAAGCATGGTAGGCGTTCCCGGGATGATGAAGCACGGTGTGGTCGACCTGTGGAGACTATCACGGCGAACAACATTGCTGCTGTGCAAGTGTTGTTGAAGGAGAACGCGCAAGTGACTGCGGAATAGCTAGGGAAAGCCATCATGATCTCGTTGCGATCTCTCCGCACCATCCTACATAAGTACCTCGGCCTCAGAAAGTTTTGCGTACTTTGGGTACTCCGTCAGCCCAGTGAGGACCAGAAAGCAGATCCGGTACATTGGTACCACTCCATGCTTGCCAGGTCTAATGGTGGACGTTCCAATGTCTACTGGGCGATCCTCAGCAGTGATGCGACTTGGCTTTACAGTTTAGACCCACAGACCAAGCAACAACCGGCTCATTGAATGGCCGTCGGTGGGGTGCCCGCCTCAGAAATTCCAGCGTGGGCGCAGTGTGGTCAAGCAGACGTTAGCTGTGTTCATGAACAAGAGCGGTCATGTGGCTACTGTACCGCTCGTACGACGGCGCATAGTCACGGGTGACCGGTATATCACACACTGTCTGCCACAAGTGCTGGAATTTGTTGCCACGCGTTGTCCAACGACTTAAGTACGAGAGACTTTGATGCACCATGACAACGCACCTGCACACAGGTCCCATGTCGTCATAGATTTTCTGGATAGGCAACGCATCGAGGTTGGTCGTTCACCCTACCTTACAGACCTGGATCGGTGTCACTTTGTGTTCCCCAATGCCAAGTGCTTGACGCGTGGAATCCGCTACGAGTCTCCAGAAGCTGCAGTAAAGCTTTTATTGAGCCACTTGAAAGATTACCCTCTTCGGCATTGTCTAGTTGCTTCTCCAAATGGGTTGAGCCCATGGAGCTCTGCATGAACGCTGGGGGAAGGTACTTCGAGAAACTGCTATGTTTATTTTGTTGTAAAGAGTAAACTTTTTGTGCATCCGGAAACTTATTGCTCTACTCTCATGCATTTATGTCTGAACGCGCTCTCAACAGCTTTCAATAAATTTTCGGATTTCCTGTGGCAACCCAAGTCGTCCCGAACCGCCACGCACGCCTCACGCTCGGCGGAAGCTCACTGCGGTACTTGCATTCTTAGCCAGTAGGGGTAGGTGCTCTGTAGTTGTATCGAGAATGCTTTCCAATTGCTGATGTAGAATTACTATAAATTTCGGATTGGCCACTGGGATCTCATGTCTTAATCACCGTGACTCGTACGCTGGTCGGCGTCCACCTGAATCCTGCGCCAGAGATTGACGCCGTTGGAAACATTAAGAAGTTTCAAACGAGCACCCATGCAAGGTCATTAATAAATATCAAAAACGTTCGTGGCCCTAGAACTAAGCCCTGGGGTACGTCACACTCGGCTTGTATGAAGTCAGGTAATGAGCTCCGAACTCCGACCACTAATTGCCGCTGAAGAACTTTTCCGATCCGGCCGAAGAGCGTGTCAACGATTCCGTAATATTGGAGCTTGGAAAGGACAACTCGCTGATATAGACGATCGAATACCTCCATCAACACCCCTCCAGCGTCAACTGACTCCGTCCAACTACTCCGTTATTAGTAATTTCGTTGTGCACGATTGCTGTCGAGGGAACCTGTGTTGCTTGATAGCGTTCGTGTTGCACTTTTCCAAATAGCACCCCAGTATATCGGCAATGATGAGTTCTATGACTTTGAACAGTTTGTAGGCTCCGTTCTGCTCCATTCTTCGTGAATCGGAGTTATCTTTCTAAGCTTTCACATAGCGGAACCTGGTTCTGTTCTAATCAGCGCACGAAGAAACGAGCCAAAGTTTCAGTCTTGTTACTGCTCACAGTGCTTATGGGCGAATAATATCGACATTGGGTTAGCTGTGCTCGCGCAATGACGTCAGCCCCTGTAGGACAACCTCCGTGATAAAAGTGTTAATCAATCCTGGTGGTAATGAACAATGAACAATAATTTTATACGGGTTAAGAAACACTGCTCTACAAGCCCCGTTCAGTGGTCCGAAGAGTTACCGAAAAAAACCTTAATGAAGAAAATGCAATTAGTAATTTTATTTTCAAAAGAATGGCATTATCGTAGCAGTGCAGTAGCCCTACACTCCAAGTATTTCCACAGCTTCAATAGGCTTTAAAAAATCCAAACTATTTTTTGGAGTAGGATAGAGAGTAGTTAGGTATAAAAAATGGTAGATGGTGTAGTGCGTTGTCCAACCGACTTTTAAATGTGGCTAGTGTAAGTGCCCTAACAGCGTTCCACGGTTGACACACGCGGATAGAAAATAAATTTATACGGCACCCTAGACGACTGTACTGTTCTGCTACTTTTAAGGAGTGATCTCTCAGGTTGATGTTACTGTTGAGTTACTGTGAAGAGCGACACACATGATTTGGGTTGGGTAACATCAAGTACGTCATTATTAACTCGCCTCGTAGTCGGTGATACCGCCCGAGGTATACTCCCAAAAGTTTCAGCCAATGCTCGCATGGAAAGTGGCGCATTCCAATGACTTATTTGGAAGCCCGATCTTGTGGCTGGTCAAGTGCAGTAAGGTCGTGCTTTAGCCATGGCCGCCACGCTTGAATTAAGTATTCGACATGGGAGCGAACATACGCATTCAGCATCTGTCTGCAAATAGTGGTGTCTACATGTCCGTCGATGCCTTTGCAGATTGCTTGGAACAACCCAAGTTACCCTGAACATGCACGACAAGGTGGCGTTCGACGGATGACCACTACAGTACTCGTGTTCCTAGCTCGTAGGAATAGTTGCTCTGTTGTCGTATGGAGAGTACTTTGCATTTGTCCAAGTTGAACTAAAGCAAATCTCGGATTGACCCTACGAATACCATATCTAGTTCACACGGAGGTAATTCCTGATTAGCATCTACCTGAATGCTGCGCCGTATCTTGATATCATAAGTAAACAGCAAGAAATTTGAAGCGATTTTCCGCGCAAGGTCATTGTGAACGCCAGAAACATTCGTGGACCTAGAACTGAGCCCTGGGGCACACCAGATTCGACTGGTATCGGTTCAGATAAGGAACCCCCGACTCTGACCACTAATTGTCGTTGCAGGAGAAAGTTGACGATCCAGCACAAGAGTGGGTCACTGATCCTGTAACATTGGAGCTTGGTAACGGGAATCCGATGATCTAAACGATCGGATGCCTCCGACAGATTCAAGTAAATCACATCGACGACCTCTCTAGCCTCGCCTGACTCGGTCCAACTACTCTGTGCGATTAATAAATTTGTTTGCACGATCGCTGTTGACGAAAGCCTTGTCACTCAGGAGTAATAATGTTACAATTTTCTTGCTAACAAACCAACTCATCGGCAGCAATGGATTCCATTAACTTGGACAGTACAGGGAGAAGTGATACTGAACAGTAGTTTGAGGGCTCAGTTCTGCTTCCGCCTTTGTAAATCGGAGCTGTCCTTCCAAGTTTCCATAACACAGGAACTTGGTTCTGGACTGAAAGTACTGAGCCAAAGGTTTTGCCAATTGTCTTGCTGCTGCTCCCAACGCCTCTGGCTGTATGATGTGGACTCATGATGAGCCGTGCTTGAGCAGAAACGTCAGCTTCCGCAATACGGCTTCGGCAGTAAAATAGCTGTGGGTGAGTCCAAGAGGCGAAAAAACAAAAAACTGGATAGTCGCCTGATGTAGAGGTAGTCTGAAATGTGGGAGTGCATTGCGTGCACAACGCGTTTGCTACTTCTATATCTTTTCTAGTTGGACCATCAGCTGTCCGGGGTGGAGGAATTCTCTGCCTCAGCTTACGAAGACCATTGATGTAATTGTGCAGCAGTTTGTGGTTGGTGCTGAAAGTTTTCGCCATATTCTGCTGATTTGCGACTTCGTCATTTCCGGACAGTTGAGTACAGTGGTTACGTTGGGCTACTTAGTTGTCCCAATTATCTGGCGTTGGTGGTCATCTATACCCTCGCCAGGATGCGTCGCCTACAGTAATCCACTTTCTAAATATGTTCCATAGGAGAGAAACGGTTTTAGGCCCACTGGAAACTCTTGTCTCTGAGACATCCGTAACCAGTTAATTGAATTTTTTGACGAAGTCTAGCCAACAACTTTCGGACAGCCTTCGGCGAGGAACGAACAGTCTGTTGCATTGACCAGCTTGGCTATGCAGTGGTAGCGTATAATGGTGCGCACCATGACATTGTTCTGGCGATGATATTCCACACAGTAGATGAAGTCGAAACTAATGACTGCATGATCATTTTGACCCGAAGGACAGTCTATGATCAGTACATTAATCAAATGTTCCTCGTTGGTGAACACAAGATCCAGCAAACATGGTCTATTACCTGTCCTGAAATGAGTGGGCGAAATGACGTGATTGTAAAATGGAACCCAACGGAAGCTGAAAAATCCTTTGATGGCATGAGCCCCCTGAAATATAGGGTATATTTCATCCGCAACGTGTTGGCTGGTTTTGCAGCCATTCTTTTTGGGCCGTGAACGCTGTTGTATGACCCGGCTAAAGGCAATTGCAGCAGAGATACCACATACAAGTAATAGAAAAGTTAGTGGCGCTAAGTTAAAAAAAGTACACGCATTAGTCTTCCGTACTCGGTCTCGAGCAAAAATATTTATTTGTGTATAAACTTTCGTGTCCATTTACCGAACCAGGGTAAGCAGTGCAACAGTATTTTACTATGCTGATTGGCGAACGTATCTTCGTGCTGACAACCTATGCTTACTCTAAAAGTTTCGCTCTAAGGCTTTATTCTAGACAGCGGTGATTCTTCCACGGTTATCCAGTACAGACGAAGTTCTCCTAGGGGAGATCAAGAAACGATATTCGTAGATGGGTCAACCCGTCTGTTTGCTGATTACCCTTAGCGTGAATCGTAACTCCCTTTTGTATAAGTACAAAATATCACGCTTTTCAAAAACCTTCCAATTCACTCTGCAGGTCAGTAAGCTCTGAGGATCAGCTGGAAGAAAAGAATGCACTTCACAAAGGGATAACAGTCGGTTCGCTATTGCGAAGATACGATCGACTCACAAAAGAGGTTGGTGACATAGCAGGACTTTTACAATGACGTTCACTCCTAGAGATTGGTCCACAGACATTTGGATAAAAACATATTCTTAGTTTTCAAATGATACAGCAAATTGGTCGAAGCGCACTTAGGGTCGCTGGAACACCGAGCAATGATGCATTATAGGTAAAGGAACAAGTGCTTAACAAGGCACTTGATATAGATAAGATGAGGACCACATGCCGGAAAATGAAAATGTAGCGACAAAATGAACAGCTTTGTGGTGAACTAACCACATTGCTCACACAGAGACATGCTTATAGGACTCCACTTCGATTGCAGAGAGTAATACTGCTAGTTTCATTTTTCGTCACCTTACATGGTCACCTGATGTACACCGGCTAAATGCAATAATGTAACTGGGCTAGGGCAGCGCCGAGGCATTTGTTGGGCTTGGATATTATGGAGGCAGAAACCATTAAGTGCAGTGGATGTTTTATTGGCTTGCATAAATCAGATAAAGCGTTCCGGATACATTCCAGCCGGCTACATTGCGGAAGCAATTTTGGCCAGTGGCCCATCACATGCGCGTTCTGGCTACGTTGAATAAGGTCACGAAAAACGTGGTCACGGTTCTTCGGTGTCGATTTGCTCTCCGGGAATTAAGAATAACTCTAGATGACAATCACCAGTTGTCATTAAAAGGATTCATGGTTATTTATAGAGCACATACAATAGTTTGCTGTTGTCCGTTCATTGACTGCCCTTGTTAACTGGTCTATGACGTTAGCTACATCCCATTGGTTCGTGTTCGCTCTCTAGGCTCACCGAGCGCATGGTTACGTTGGACCTCGCTGTTGCCATCACGGATAGACTGCACGGTGGCGTCTACTTGGCCATCCACACATTCAATTGATGATCCCACTATTGGCTATTTACCACAGCTGAGCGTGTTCTTAACACTATCTCAGGCATATGCCACCCACTCGCAGTGCGACCGACTAATCCGTCTTTTTACTATCCGAAGCCATACTTTTCCACCACTGCGCTGCGCCGAATGCGGTCCGCGTGATCATTTCTCATGTGTAGCGTCCGATTGGTCATTCGTTTCTCGAGAGGGCAGATGTTTGTTTTGTTGCTGGATCAACCGATGACAGAAGACGATCCTTCGTTGTACCAGCACGACATTTCTTAAAAGACCTCGGAAAGGTAGGTGGCGATCAAGAGGTGTACAAACATAGGTGCATCGGCTACATACTTAAAGAACTGAAAGACCTATATATATATATATATAAATATAAATATAAATATATATATACCAGTATTAATGATCCATCAAACTTTATGTGAAGTTAGTTACTGCACATAGTACCTACCTGTGTCCATGCATGGAGTTTCCTGCCTGGGATATGTATTGCAAGATTTAGGTTACAGGAGCTGCTAGCCGCCCAAATAATGTTTAGGTACGCTGGGACGTCAGCCTTATATGTCACGCGAGACTTGTATGTGGTGGAAAGAAGTATGGTTCGTCAGGACAGCCATTGAACTAAGGTACAGTTTTCCGATTTAAGCCTATCATTTTGGCTACCCCACGGGAATTGTTAAGCACTTACCTTTTTACAGAAGAGTAGTAGGAGGAGTTGAATGGTATAGGTAGAATTTCGTCACATCTAGGCTCACTCAGACAGCCGCCACAAGCCCGGAAAAGCACTGTACGCACGTTTCATCCTTTCGGGAATCATCAGCAGTGCGCATTCCATCGGACCCTTGGCAGGGCTCGAAACCGCAACTCGACTGTTACCAGTCCGTGGTTGAGACCACTGAGCTACGGGGGACAGCAACGACCATCGTGAATAAGTCAGTGGATAGTGAGCGGCGCTATATCACATCTAGTAACTTATTCACGATGGTCGTTGCTGTCCCCCGTAGCTCAGTGGTCTCAACCACGGACTGGTAACAGTCGAGTTGCGGTTTCGAGCCCTGCCAAGGGTCCGATGGAATGCGCACTGCTGATGATTCCCGAAAGGATGAAACGCGCGTACAGTGCTTTTCCGGGCTTGTGGCGGCTGTCTGAGTGAGCCTAGATGTGACGAAATTCTACCTATACCATTCAACTCCCCCTACTACTCTTCTGTAATCAGTACACAGAACAAACTGCTTATAATGCCATAAGATAATTGGCGGCTTAAGTTTGTTAAGCTCGTCGCTTGGTGAGGGGGCTACCCTGTCCTCTGCACGGCAGTAACGTGTAAGTCAGTGGATAGTGAGCGGCGCTATATCACATCTAGTAACTTATTCACGATGGTCGTTGCTGTCCCCCGTAGCTCAGTGGTCTCAACCACGGACTGGCAACAGTCGAGTTGCGGTTTCGAGCCCTGCCAAGGGTCCGATGGAATGCGCACTGCTGATGATTCCCGAAAGGATGAAACGCGCGTACAGTGCTTTTCCGGGCTTGTGGCGGCTGTCTGAGTGAGCCTAGATGTGACGAAATTCTACCTATACCATTCAACTCCCCCTACTACTCTTCTGTAATCAGTACACAGAACAAACTGCTTATAATGCCATAAGATAATTGGCGGCTTAAGTTTGTTAAGCTCGTCGCTTGGTGAGGGGGCTACCCTGTCCTCTGCACGGCAGTAACGTGTAAGTCAGTGGATAGTGAGCGGCGCTATATCACATCTAGTAACTTATTCACGATGGTCGTTGCTGTCCCCCGTAGCTCAGTGGTCTCAACCACGGACTGGTAACAGTCGAGTTGCGGTTTCGAGCCCTGCCAAGGGTCCGATGGAATGCGCACTGCTGATGATTCCCGAAAGGATGAAACGCGCGTACAGTGCTTTTCCGGGCTTGTGGCGGCTGTCTGAGTGAGCCTAGATGTGACGAAATTCTACCTATACCATTCAACTCCCCCTACTACTCTTCTGTAATCAGTACACAGAACAAACTGCTTATAATGCCATAAGATAATTGGCGGCTTAAGTTTGTTAAGCTCGTCGCTTGGTGAGGGGGCTACCCTGTCCTCTGCACGGCAGTAACGTGTAAGTCAGTGGATAGTGAGCGGCGCTATATCACATCTAGTAACTTATTCACGATGGTCGTTGCTGTCCCCCGTAGCTCAGTGGTCTCAACCACGGACTGGCAACAGTCGAGTTGCGGTTTCGAGCCCTGCCAAGGGTCCGATGGAATGCGCACTGCTGATGATTCCCGAAAGGATGAAACGCGCGTACAGTGCTTTTCCGGGCTTGTGGCGGCTGTCTGAGTGAGCCTAGATGTGACGAAATTCTACCTATACCATTCAACTCCCCCTACTACTCTTCTGTAATCAGTACACAGAACAAACTGCTTATAATGCCATAAGATAATTGGCGGCTTAAGTTTGTTAAGCTCGTCGCTTGGTGAGGGGGCTACCCTGTCCTCTGCACGGCAGTAACGTGTAAGTCAGTGGATAGTGAGCGGCGCTATATCACATCTAGTAACTTATTCACGATGGTCGTTGCTGTCCCCCGTAGCTCAGTGGTCTCAACCACGGACTGGCAACAGTCGAGTTGCGGTTTCGAGCCCTGCCAAGGGTCCGATGGAATGCGCACTGCTGATGATTCCCGAAAGGATGAAACGCGCGTACAGTGCTTTTCCGGGCTTGTGGCGGCTGTCTGAGTGAGCCTAGATGTGACGAAATTCTACCTATAACATTCAACTCCCCCTACTACTCTTCTGTAATCAGTACACAGAACAAACTGCTTATAATGCCATAAGATAATTGGCGGCTTAAGTTTGTTAAGCTCGTCGCTTGGTGAGGGGGCTACCCTGTCCTCTGCACGGCAGTAACGTGTAAGTCAGTGGATAGTGAGCGGCGCTATATCACATCTAGTAACTTATTCACGATGGTCGTTGCTGTCCCCCGTAGCTCAGTGGTCTCAACCACGGACTGGTAACAGTCGAGTTGCGGTTTCGAGCCCTGCCAAGGGTCCGATGGAATGCGCACTGCTGATGATTCCCGAAAGGATGAAACGCGCGTACAGTGCTTTTCCGGGCTTGTGGCGGCTGTCTGAGTGAGCCTAGATGTGACGAAATTCTACCTATACCATTCAACTCCCCCTACTACTCTTCTGTAATCAGTACACAGAACAAACTGCTTATAATGCCATAAGATAATTGGCGGCTTAAGTTTGTTAAGCTCGTCGCTTGGTGAGGGGGCTACCCTGTCCTCTGCACGGCAGTAACGTGTAAGTCAGTGGATAGTGAGCGGCGCTATATCACATCTAGTAACTTATTCACGATGGTCGTTGCTGTCCCCCGTAGCTCAGTGGTCTCAACCACGGACTGGCAACAGTCGAGTTGCGGTTTCGAGCCCTGCCAAGGGTCCGATGGAATGCGCACTGCTGATGATTCCCGAAAGGATGAAACGCGCGTACAGTGCTTTTCCGGGCTTGTGGCGGCTGTCTGAGTGAGCCTAGATGTGACGAAATTCTACCTATACCATTCAACTCCCCCTACTACTCTTCTGTAATCAGTACACAGAACAAACTGCTTATAATGCCATAAGATAATTGGCGGCTTAAGTTTGTTAAGCTCGTCGCTTGGTGAGGGGGCTACCCTGTCCTCTGCACGGCAGTAACGTGTAAGTCAGTGGATAGTGAGCGGCGCTATATCACATCTAGTAACTTATTCACGATGGTCGTTGCTGTCCCCCGTAGCTCAGTGGTCTCAACCACGGACTGGCAACAGTCGAGTTGCGGTTTCGAGCCCTGCCAAGGGTCCGATGGAATGCGCACTGCTGATGATTCCCGAAAGGATGAAACGCGCGTACAGTGCTTTTCCGGGCTTGTGGCGGCTGTCTGAGTGAGCCTAGATGTGACGAAATTCTACCTATACCATTCAACTCCCCCTACTACTCTTCTGTAATCAGTACACAGAACAAACTGCTTATAATGCCATAAGATAATTGGCGGCTTAAGTTTGTTAAGCTCGTCGCTTGGTGAGGGGGCTACCCTGTCCTCTGCACGGCAGTAACGTGTAAGTCAGTGGATAGTGAGCGGCGCTATATCACATCTAGTAACTTA